GGGCCTTGCACATCTCTTAACAGCATGGGCTTTCTGGAAACTTCCTTAGAAGAGGGTGGAGGCAAAAGGGGTAGTTCCCCGGAATTTGGAAGCGGAGCTGGGTGTGATGGCGCATGCTTGTAATCCTAGCACTCTGGGAAGCCGAGAATGGCAGTTACTGGGCCAAATTAGGGCCTCCTTGTCTCAAATTAAAACCTCAAATGTGAGCTGGGAGTGTAACTCACTACAAAGGCCCTGGGCTCCATCCTAGAATTGGGGGGTGGAGTAGAAATGACTTTAAATAATCTAGTCTATGTCCTCAACACAACGGTGGGGAAAAAAAAAATCAGGCAATCGGTTGAGTGTTCACCGTGAGTCCTTCACGTAGACTGAACCTCAAAACCCAAGAGCAACCTTGGGAGTAAGTACTGTGTGGAGGATAAGTCCCACAGAGGGAGGGACCAGGGTAAACTGAGGCCTTCTGACTCGAGGTCTCTCAAGAGGCCCGGGGTGGAATTTAAATCCCATGCTTCATCCTGAGGGCAGGAAATCCCTGGAGCGCAAATGCTTGTGGTCTGAGTGACGGAAGAGTTCCAGGTCCTGTCCAGGGTGTGTAGACAGGCTTTGGGTGGCTCCTCTCTCGCTCTCTCTCCCCCCCTCTCTCTCTCTCTCTCTCTCTCTCTCTCTCTCTCTCTCTGCTTCCAGGACACATGCTTCTCTGGCCTTCCCTGGGTGTCTTCACTAGAACTAACCCCCTCCGCTGACTCGAGTCTCCAAGCCCTAACACCTTGCTCCTGTCGCCAGTGCTACTCCCTCCCTTCCTTCATTGGAGCTGACCCTAAATTCAGGCAGCTCGGAACCAACCCAAGGCTCACTTCCCTCAGAGTGAAAGTGAAAACACTCAGAGCAGCCAGCAGGAGGACCGCAGGCCGCCTTATCATAGCAGCAGGTAAGGCGCACAGTGTCTCCAGAGCCAGGCACTCATCCATGCTCCTGTGTGCTCTTCTTTTGCAGGACGATCACCTGCCAAGGAGGAGTGGGGACAGCCAAACTCCAACCCAGGCAGCTGGGGTGCAATCATGACCAATTAGGCCCCCCACTGCTCCCTGTCACAAGGTAGGCTACTTTTATGACAGCCTCATTTAAAGACCAGAAACTGAGGCACAGAGGGATTTAAGGAAACATGGAGTAAGCAAAATAGAATAGTTGAAAGTAAAGAAAGACTAAAAAATACCTAAATAGAAAAGGAAAAAGAAAAAGAAAAAAACAAGGATCAGTGGATATTTCCACCGGAAAACTGTATCTCGTCTGGCCATGCCCTTCTGGGTTAGCTGGTTCTAGTCTTTCCTTGTCTCTCTAGGTTGTAGAGGACGGAAGGCGGTAGCCATTATTTTTTCCTGTGAACAAACAAATGACCATTCAGTGGAGGGACAGCTCCAGGCTGCTCTGGTGGGAGAGTCAGTTTTGCTTCCATCTAAAAATTCATTTCAGAATTTCTGATGTATAAATGTGTCTGCTTAGTGGCTTTTCCTTTGAATGAGTTGTAACATCTATCTGGTTCCCTTATTACTAAAAGTGAAACAGATCTTAGCATGAGTACTGAGAGGCACAGTTTCACCTTTAAAGTGATCTTTTAACAGGAATCCTGTAAATGTATCTCCAGTCAGACCGGGAGAGGTCCAGCTGGGATTGCAACTCCAGCAGGGCAGGAATGAGTGGCTGTGTTTTTAGCCATCACACCTTCCAGGGTCTGCGAAGCATCACTGTGCCAGAGTAATTACAGCTGTAAATTCACCAACCCTAACCTTAACAAGGCCCTTGGCCCTAATTCAACCCAAATCTAATTAAACCTAATACATTAAATGGAGCTCTGTCCGAGGAAAGGACACGCGGGACTCCCACATTTTTGGCGAGATGATCTTTGGAGGTACTGGCAAGAATATTCATTCAGGCCCTTCAGACCCCTGGCCTCTGAGAACCACAGGATACATTTTGCTCGCTGGCCTTCCTGTAGTAGCCCATGCCTGGGACGGAGGCCAGTGCTGTGTGTGTGCCAAGGGCTCCATTTTACCCCAAGTGCTGCCTCTGATTTGTTGAAGGCCCTGTGGTATGGGGGGACTGGGGAGCCATTTGCCTTCACAGTTCTCCCAGGGGCAGGGCCAGGCAGCATGTGACTTGGGGACACACACACACACACACACACACACGCGCGCGCGCGCTTCTGCTCCGAGGGCTCAAAGTCATTACCCTCTATTATACACCTAAATTACACATTGATTAATGATAGACCACCATAACCACACATAATTGCAAGTTAGGATTTTGGTTGTTAGACAGCATCAAAATTTAACTATGACTAATTGATATAAACTCTCAATTTCATTGTACCCTGAGTTATCTTTACTCCTGACTGACCACAAACAATACTTTTGCCACTGAGGAATTTATTCTCAGATATAATCTTGTAAGTCAACTAGCTGTATTGTATTCATTTAAAAAAACTTAATTAATCAGGCATGGTGGTGCACACCTGTAAACCCAGCCCTTGGGAGGTTGAGGCAGGAGGATCGCTGTGAGTTCAAGACCAGCCTAGGCTACCTAGTGAGTTCCAGGTCAGTCTCAACTACATAGTGAGACCCTGTCTCAAAAAACCCAAAATAAATAAATAAATAAATAAATAAAAAATAAATAAATAAAAACTTTATTAGTACATGTTTATAGTACATAATGATTACAAGAATTGTGGGGAATTGGTGCATGTACGTACCACATCTCGGTTATTTTTTCCCCCTTCCCTTCCACCCTATTAAAAACTTTTTTCTTTTTTTGGCCAGCATAATATTTTTAATCGTAGTTTTAAAGGTTGAAATCTAAGCATTTTAAATTAAGCTAAATTTTACTTCATTATAATTTGTTATGGCAAATGCTACTGATTTTCATGTTTATGATACTATTAGACATTCTTATTTAAGTATCGAGTGACTTGACTCAAAGAGAAATATTAACTCATAGTCCGGATGGTGCAGGACACTCCAGAAATCAGCATGGCAATGTCTGAGTGATGGATAAGCAGTAACACTGGTACTGTGTGTCAGGCCCTTATTACACGTAGCATCACGTAGTACATTGTCTGCGTTGTCCAAGCCATGTGTGGCTACTTAACGCTTGAAATGTTGCTAAAGTCAATTAAATTCTTCACTGAGGAAATTATCTTAAAGTTAATTTTTTTTGTTTGTTTTTTTGAGACAGGGTCTCACTATGTAGTTGAGACTGAGCAGGAATTCACTATGTAGCCCAGGCTGGTCTTGAACTCACAGCAATCCTCCTGCCTCAGCCTCCCAAGTGCTGGGATTACAGAAGTGCGCCACCATGCCCAGCTGAAAGTTAATTCTAATTCATTTAAATTTACATATGCACATTTACCATCTAAGAGCAAACCTAAAGGTCTTTTATATGATACTTAATAAAATCTTTATAACATCAATGAATAAGCAGTTCCGTCATTTCTCTGTGAGGTCATATAACTAAAAGGTAGTGGAAGAGGAATCTACACCCAGACCCTGCTGACTTTGAAACAGGTGCTGTCAGTCATTTCCAGAGAAAAGTAGAGATCAAAGAATACTCTGTCAGTAGGTGAAGGGTAGCCTAGCAGTCCTCCTAAAACTCAGACTTGAGCATTTGTGCTATTAACGTGATTGATTCTGTGAGGGGATGGCCGTGAGACTTTACCCAGGGTGGTTGGCATGGCTGTTGATTTTTTTCTTTCTTGTTTTACTTTGGTAGTGGGTATTGAACCCAGTGCCTACACACTGAGTTACATTCCCAGCTCTCTTAATTTACTGCTTTTATTGTGAGGCAGGATTTCATTAAGTTGTCCAGACAAGGCTTGAATTTGTGATCCTCCTGCCTCAGCTTCCTGCATAGCTGGGATTACAGACTTGTATCCCTATGCCTTGTTGCCAATTTTTATTTATAGCTTTTACCTCTTTATTGAACTCCAAATTTGTACATTGAGCTTACTTGATAGTTCCACTTAGACATGTCATAGGCATCTCAAGCCTCCAATGACCAAATCAAACTTATCTTTCGCTGGTCATGCTGGTGTATTCCTGTAATGCCAGTTTTACCGGGGTTCTGGAGTGTGCTGTGCTCCTTCTAGAGATTCTTGTCAAGTTCTTGTTCTGGGCAAAGGATTGGTCAAGATACTTGAAAAAGGTAGTGAGATTTTACATTTATTAAAGATAGGAAGAGAAATATGCCCTGCAGAGTAAGTGTGGGTCAGTTACTGTGTTCATGACGAAGCTGTAGTAGGTATGTTCTGCTGCCAGGTGGCTTGAACAACAGTGGTGCATACCTGACTGTCCCATCAGGCAGCTTGTACCACCGGTGGTGTAAATTGCTCTCATCACTTTGTTGGTCTTTTTACTAATGCAATTCATAAAAAGCCACCCAATGGGAGAGTCATGCTTGTACTATTGGTGGTTCAAGCCAGTAAGAACATGTTAAAGTAGGGAAATGTACTCAGGGTGAGTGTAGGCCACTGAAAAAGAGAGCACCGTGGCAAAAAAAGTTAATGGCCCATCTGTTGTATCCCCCCAACTCTGACATCAGATTTAGGCTGTCCTATCAAAAACCTGCTTGATCTTAAGTCAGAAGAACCTAAGCTAGAGCTTTCTGATTGGTCCCAGGTGGAAGGCTTGGGCCCCTGGGTCCTGCATCTCCATGACTGACAGGTCATGGCCCCTTGCCCAGCCGGTTGGCCATACCCTAATCTCCTACCTCATAGGCATGTGGGAGGCTGAGGCAGCCAAATCACAAGTTTGGCCTCAGACTGGGCAACTTCATCATTTAGGGAGAGCTTGTTTCAAAATAAGACTTTAAAAGGACTAGGGATGTAGGTCAGTGCAAAGGCTGTGGATTCAATCCCCAGTGCTCAAAAAACAAAACTCTATCTTTCTATAAACCTTTTATTTCTCATGTTTTTCCTATTTAATGACATCCAGTTACTTTACCCATTTACTTAAATAAAAAACTCCAAATAGGCCAGGTGTGGTGGCATGCACCTGTAATCCCAGAACTTGGGAGGCTGAAGCGGGATTGCCATAAGTTCAAGGCCAACCTGGGCTACATAGTGAATTCAAGGCCAGCCTGAACTACACAGTGAGACCCTGTCTCAACAACAACAACAACAAAAAAAAAACAAAATCCTAAAATTCATAAATCATCCTGATTCCTCTTTTCTCCTTAATGTTCACATGCTATCCACATGAGTCATGGTGACGGTATTTTCAAAGTATACCCTAATTCACTGCAAACATGCTAGCACTTGAACTTCTTCAGGAAGCTCTGTGCTGTATAGAGGGGCTCCCAAAGGCACCTTTGTATTAATACCTGGAACTTGTATGTTTGTGGGTGTGTCCTCAAGACCGAAGATCTAGGCATGTACTCGTGTACCCCTAGTGTCTGTCCAGTTACCTAACCCTTAGTGGGGTGACTGGAATGCAAAACATCTGCATGCGTTTGAAATTTAGAGATAGCGGACCCACTCGATAGTGCTGTTTGCTTGATGGTGGAGCTCTATGTAAACTTTGAATCTGTAGTATTGGAAAACCCCAGGCTCAACCCCAGGTGAAAAGTATGGGCCCAATTAGCAGGCTTATTGTATCTTTAAGTTTCTTAGGATTTTGTTTTGTTTTGTTTCCCGGAAGGGGAAAAAACCGCAATTTAACCTTGGATAACTTTGTGTCCTGAAAAGGCAGTTTCTTAAGATTATGATTTTCCTTGTTTCTTTTCTACGTGTCTTTGTTTCTTCTATCCTACATCAAAAGGGCTGCTTGCTTCCAGAGCACTTTCTACGTACCAGACAGTGTTCTGCCTGTTAATGTGAATTCTTAATCTTCGCAACCACACTGTACACTCTTTAAGGTTGAGGAAATTGAGACACTGAACTACGTTACATGACTTGCTCAAAATACAGCGAAATATATAACTATAGGAGACTATCAAGTTTTGCTCTCATTCTCTCACACTGACTGGGGTGATATTTGTGAAACCCCAGGAGCCTTCCCAGGGCGCAGGCGCAGGGCGGGAGGCAGTGATTGATGGAAGTCTCGGAACCAAACAGCGGAAGTCCTACCCACCACTGGCGGAACTTCCGGTTCTAACTGTTCTGGGTTTTTGCAGAAGGCTTGGATCGTACGTCACCGTGATGGTGCTGCTGGAAAGCGAGCAGGTACAGCCGATCTGACCGTCACAGAGAAGGATGGAGTTCTGGGTTTAGCATGGGGCCACTGTGTGCTTTTGCAGGAGCTACAGGGTGGCGGGCGGGGCGAGTATCTGTGTCTGCCTAACAGGCCCGGGCTTCTTGTGTTGCAGTTCCTGACCGAGCTGACCAGGCTCTTCCAGAAGTGCAGGCCGTCGGGCAGCGTGTTCATCACCTTGAAAAAATGTAAGCGGCCGCCGCGGCAGGGCCGGAGGGAACAGCGAGAGGCAGCCGGAAGCCGATCGCTGGCCGGCCGCGGCGCCGCGGCCCCTCTCACACTCTGTGCGGTGGAGAGTTAGGAACGAGGCTGGTGCCACCCCCAGCACTTAGTCACCCAGGTCCGAGTCGTTGCACAGAGCCCCAGCTCGCGGGAGATCGGGCTTTTCGTTAGGAACCCCATCCGGTGTTTTGATGTTACAATGTTTTCTTTGTGGAACTAGTAGATTCTCCAAGGTTTGGCTAAGCCCTGACAGTGGATGGTGTGGTTAACAGGAATAGAGCAGTGACTGTGGATGAGGTATCTCTTTGTATCCCTTTCCACTGTTTAACTTTCTGTCTGTCATTAATTTGTGTGGCTGTGTTTACCAAGATGTGTTTCTCATGCAGATGATGGTCGAACTAGATCCCTTCCAAAGAAGGGTTCTGTGGAGGGCTTTGAGCCTTCAGATAACAAATGTCTGTTGAGAGCTACGGATGGGAAAAAGAAGATCAGCACTGTGGTGAGCTGAATTCTTTCCTGTTTATTTTTTGCGGTGCTAGGAGTTGAACCCAAGGCCTTACAGGTGCTATGCAAGCGTTCTCCATTGAGTTATGTACACCCCTAACCCTGTGACCTGTATTAATACGAAATGTTGGAGTTTACAAGTAAGTACTTGAGCCGAGAATGGGGCACATCTGAACAGACCTTTTTTTTTTTTTTTTTTTTTTTTTTTTTTTTTTTTTTTTTTTTTTTTTTTTTTTTTTTTTTTTTTTTTTTTTTTTTTTTTTTTTTTTTTTTTTTTTTTTTTTTTTTTTTTTTTAATAAAGATAAAGGTTAATGTTTATTTCCCAGGCTGTTTTGGGACTAGGACATTCCTTTATTACTTGAGTACTGGAAATCTAAATAAACTAAAAGTAAAGGTCAAATACATGTTTGGCTAAAGTGTCTATAGAAATAAAAATAGCATATTGGCCTTTACTCAGGGTAAGTGCTATAAGGAGGAGTTGGCATATTTCCTTATCCACTTAACTGTGCTGGGTCTTCTTAGAGTATCAAGTGATTCTTTTATTTTTAAGCTGATTATATTCTTTGGGGTTCTCCTACCAACCATGTTAGGCTTGGTACTTGAGAGCATACACATTTAGTCATCAGGCCTAGTTTTTCCTTTCATGGTGGAAGTTGAATACAGTATGGCAAACATACTGGGCTGTTTTTGTGTGTGTTGCTTGGGATTGAATCCAGGGCCTTCATACTTAGCTACATCCCCAATTTTGAGGCAGGGTTTACTCAAGCTGGCTTTGAACTTGAGATCCCCTGCATCAGCCTTCCAGAGTAAAGACACCCTGGATTCTGCATACTTATAAGAGAGCAGAACAAGATTGCCCTCTAATGATATTAGTGGAGGGTACTCATGAGAATATAGACAATAATCAGTTGATAAGTCTCCCTTTACAAATTATCTTGAGCTATGTAGTTCAGATTGGCCTTGAACTCACTACATAGCCCAGGCGGGCCTGGGCCTTGCAATGATCTTCCTGCCTCGGCCTCAAAGTCATCTTGAAAAAAATTTTACAATAAAACAAGCTTATGTAGTCTTTAAAAATAAAGTTGGATATCATGCAATAGAGATACTGTAGGAATTTCCTTTAGAGGTAGCATTTATCCTGTGATAGCTTGTATTGCTTAATCCAGTCTTAATTAATGGAAGACAAGACGGGCAGGGAATAGTTTTAGTGTATTTTGCACAAAACATACTGAGAAGTCCTTTGCCATCTCTCAGAGCCCAGGGGAAGAAGTCAGGGCCACCTGTATAAGGCATTTCGGTAGAGGAGAGCTTTGCAGGGGCCCATGCCTGGCTGCCCATGTTGGTGCAGTTCTTAGATGGGAAAAGGCACAGAACCGCTTTGCTTGTTCCTCAGGCAGAGGGCAATGGAGCAGAATAGTCTTTAGTTCAGTTTCTCAAGTTGGGAAGTATTTCAAAGAATAGGGTGTAGCTAGCTCGCCAGCAGGGTGCTTGCCAGCATGCACAGGGGCCTAGGTTCAGTCCCTAGCACCACAAAAACAAGAATAGTCTCGTAGAATGTTGTCTTCATGGAGCTTTTCAGTTGCTGTCGGGTGGAGCAGAGAGGATACTTTCGTGAATAAACAGGAATGACATGCGTTGTTCCCTCCTCTTCCAGGTGAGCTCCAAAGAAGTGAATAAGTTTCAAATGGTGAGTACCTACCCTCCCCACTCTGTCTCCTCAGGGCAAGAATCCGCACAGGAGTGAAGCAACAGAACAGGGTGTTCAGGTTCTGTAGTCCCCTGTGATTAAGTTTCACCGATTTTTCAAGTAAGCACTGCCAGGCTATGAATTTCAACAAGGATGTTACTTTTTCTTTTAAGCCAGATTTTCTTGTCCCAGACTTCACATGCACCCCACCTATGGTATAGTCAAACCGATTTCCTGTACTTTTCCTTTTGCTTAAAAATACATTTTTTTAAAAAAATGCACTTCCCTGTGGGTGAGCATTGCAGGACCTGCCACATGAGTGTTTTATGTTTAAACCATTTGCCAGTGCAAAGGTCCTGTGGTGTTAAAGCTCTTCATCAGGAAGACCTCTGTCCCTGGCCACCACTCGGCCAACAGTTTGCATCTCTTCCCACTAAGGTCGTGCCCTGTGTCTTTCAGGCCTACTCAAGCCTCTTGCGAGCTAACATGGATGGGCTGAAGAAGAGAGACAAAAAGAGCAAGAATAAGAAGACCAAAACGGCACAGTGAAGGGGCACCAGATTCTCTACTTTTACCAGCTAACCAGCGAGTTGTTATTTTTCCTTTGGTTTCTATTTTTGGCCACAAAGCTAGGTTTTTGGTTCCCTTGTTGGCAACTTATTTTCATGTGAGATGATGGTCACTTTGGAGAGAGAAAGGTTAGTTTATAGGGCAGTCATGGTAAGAGACTATTTATTTAGATCTGTGCCACATGCGTGTGTATTCCTAGATTAGTTTTCAAAGGCCTCCAGTTACTCCCCTGAAGAGCAAGGTATCATTAAATGTTTGTTTCCTAACATAGTCTCTTATTTGTTCTTTTTCTCACCCCATTTTAATAGCTCTGGGAATAACTACTAATTTGGGAATGATGTGTTTAATGAATGAGTTTTAACTCTGTCCTCTACATTTTTTTTTTTTTTTTTTTTGTACCGGGGATGGAACTCAGGACCTTGTGCCTGCCAGTCATGCGTGGTGCCACTGAGCTAAATCCCCGGCCCTGTCTTCTACATTCTTCGAATTAAAACCTGACAACTATATAAGTCGTGTCATCTCGTGGGTATTCTTCCTCCAGTTGTATAATTTTATCATCGTAGTTTCTTTAGCAAGTTTGAATGAGTCCTCATAGCCTAATGAGTGTTTGCTTAACGACATTAGATACATGTATTACAGAATCAGCAAGAATAAAGATTCCCAGCTCATGACTTTTGGTCCTCTTTGTGTGTGTAGTCCTGGGGATTGAACCTGAAGCTGCACTTTGAACTACATTCCCATCTCTTTTATTTTTCATTTTGAGACAAGGTTTCACTGAGTTTCCCAGGCTGGCCTTAAATTTGTGATCTGCCTGCCTGAGCCTCCCAAGTAGTTACAAATGTGCAGGCCTCCATGCCTGATGAGTTTGATCTTCTGTGCCTTTTAGCAAGGACAGTTTTGTATGCTTTAGTCATTAGGGTCAAGGGGCAAATGAGGCTGTTTCCTTGTGGTTGACCTCCTTAAGACCTTGAGTGTTTGATGTGCAATTAAAAAGCAGCAAATAATGCCAGCACTTGGGAGGCTGAGGCAGGAGGATCACGGTGAGTTCCAGACCAGCCTGGGCTACATAGTGAGACCCTGTCTCAAAAAAGCAAAAAACAAACAAAAAAATAAAAAGCAAATATATCAAAACATTTATTATATCCCAAAAGATAAATTTATAATATATTACACATGGAAAACTGACAAAACTCAGCTCTGTAGGGAGGCTGCTAAAATGATGGTGAATGTACAACACCCCATTATTTTGGTATAAGGCCTGACCGACAGGTCCTTGGCGTTAAAATAAGATCCTGTAGTAGTCGTCTTTGTAGCTGTACAAGAATAGCACAGACACCCTGCAAAAGAAGGGAAAAGGCAGATTACAACGACCGGCTCAGGTGGGTGGGTGAACAACAGAATACATATTTTTAGAACACTTGAGGGTAGGACTTGTGTTTAATTCGGAACAAGAGAGACACTAATCCTAACAAAATAAGTTTTGCAGAAGCCAGGACAGGCAAAGGTCTGTGAGGAAAGGACCTGAGGAGCAGCACCGCTGACCTCACGGGCCTCCCTGTGGCCGGGGGTTGGAATGATACAGGAAGGAGTGAGGGCGGTTTTGAGAGGGGATGTGAAGGAAAGCAATCCCAGTTACTTTGTTTCGGCATACTTGGAGGAGTTACTTGCTCCAACAGAATAACGACTGGGATGGTTCCTGCTGCGCTGTTTGGTAACTGAGTGTCACGACTGACTCACAAACCAGGTAAGGTTCACCTGTGGCCAGCTGTAGTTCTAAGGACAGCTTATGGCCAGCGGGATGCAACAAGTACACGTCAGTCCGAAAGGCCTGCTCAGACCATGTGGACACCTGCTGTGCTTCAGCGATAGCTTACTTTTTTTCGACTTTGATGTTATAAATTTCATCGCACACCAACTTGAGGTATCTCTGCTTTGGCAGGCGTGACAGCAGCTGCTTCACAGTTGTGTTAAAGGCCTGTTCGTCGGCATCCCACTAGGAAAAAACAGACTTGAAAGACCGGGCAGCAGGGTTTGTTACCTGGCCTTCGCTTGTTCACTAGTGAAATGCCGATGTTCTCTTCAACTAGAGCAGAAGGATCCTTTATAGGGAGAGACAACGAGCGGGGGGTGCTGCTGGGATTTTTCCTTTAAAGTATTAATTTTTTGAAAAAACAAGGCATGTCCCCAAGTGAAGCCTGGATGCCACAGTGCTGGTGTGTGGTTACGGCTTGAGATCAGTTTTTTCTGGCTACTGTTACTTGGTATAAAATGGAGATGTTGCCTCCAGTGTGAATCCTTTTTTTTTTTTTTTCGGTACCGAAGATCAAACTTGGGACCTTGCACTTGTGAGACAGGCGGTGGAACCACTGAGCAAAATCCCCGGCCCTGTATCCTTTCTTTTTGAGACAGGGTTTTATTATGCAGTTCAGGCTGAGCTTGAACTTACTATGTACTCCAGGCTGGCTTTGAGTTCCTGCCTCAGCCTCCCAAGAGCTGGGATTACAGGTGTGGGCCACCGAATCCTGCCCGATGTGTGTCCATTTGACGGGATGACAAATCAGCAAATCACCAGTGTATGGTGTATGCTTATTTGGGAGAGCAACATAAAATGTAGTATAAAATAAATATTAAGTATTCTTACTAGCAAAGGTAACTGTTCCAAAATTTAAATGTTCTTATTTAGGTAATCTGACGGCAAAGATGTGTACAGTACCTGTAAAGAAGACATTTACAAAAAAAGGATCTAAATTTCAACAAAAGGAACTTCTGTAGTTCTAACTTACAAGATGAATTTCCCTAGCTGAGATGAAGGTTTATGTGCTAGGTTCAAATCCTGGCTCTGCTACTTAACTATCTGGGTGACCGTGATTTAGAAATAGATATAAAACACAAAAGGGCTAACCTTTAACTAAATTCTTGGCACTGTAAGACAAATAATATTGCTAAGAAAATATAATACCATTTTCAATTTTCTTTTGGCAGCCCGAACAGCAAAGGCCATAGTGTAGAATAGTTCATACTACTTACCTCTAGTGTTAAAAACTGTAAGATTGTTTCCTTGGGTAGATCCACCTGTTAATACACAGAAATGAGCAACATCTATCAGAACTCTTTTTCTTTTTGTGCTGGGGATTGAACTTGGGACCTTGTGCTTGCAAGGCAGGTGGCAGAACCACTGAGCTAAATCCCCACTATCAGAATCCTTAAGTGGCACATAATGACTTGGGACCGCAGTGTCGCTTTGGGACTGGCAGTGTGAAACACGACCGTGCCATACAGCAGGCTGAAGTGTGCAGTGAGAAGGGTTCACCCTTGGTGAGCTAACAAGCCACGAAAACTACTCAGGTCCCTTCATGCCACACCCAAAGGTCTGACAGTGCTGACTACGTGTGCTGAGACGTGTACAGGCCTGGGAAGGTAAAGACCTGAAACACACAGAAAAATGACTTTTGTTTTCATTCCCTTCCCTCCTCCATCTTTTAGAGGAAGCAAGAGAAGAAACAAACACAATCCTTCAGTTTTCTCCCTGGTTCTTTTTTTTTTTTTTTTTTTTTTTAATGTTTTTAATTAGTGCCTATTAATTTTACAAAATACTGGGTTTCAGTGTGGTATTTTCATGCAACATTGTGAGCGCATGCATCCCTCTGTTACCATCCCTTACATTCACTTCCCCTGATTCTCTTGTCTAACAGTAGTCTCTTCTCTACTTTCGTGTCATCTTTCTGAAGATTCCACATTAGGGAAAGTGTGCAATGCTTGTCTTTCTGAGCCTCTTATTTCACTTAATGTGATGGACTCCAGTTTCATCCATTTCTCCCCAGTGTTTTACAGGTTTAGATTGCATGTGAGTTGCAGCAGTAACAAAGTCTGATCCTGCATAGAGGTGCCCTGAACTTTGAGGGCACGCTAGACAGTGAGAGAAGCCAACTTCGAAATGTTAAAGAAAGCAACTTACAGCCAAAATTTCAATCTCACTGCTTTTCTGATGTAAATTGGCAAGGGTAGTCTGAAGTCGGGTTTGTACCTAGTAAGAAGAAAATGGAATTCAAAGTATGTTGAACCAAGCCATCTTATTTCCTGTTCCAGAAAACAATCTGTGTGGCAAAACAAGGCCTACAAAGGATTCCCAGGCCACTATGATCTCAGGGGAGACTTTACAATCTGCATCTGCTGTGATCATTTGTTCAGTGATCTCCTCTGTGATCATTTGTTCAGTAATTCCTCTTTGTGGATAGGGTTTTTTTTTTGTCCTTCCTCCTTTCGGCACTGGGAGTTGAACTCAAGGCCTTCACCCTGAGCTACATCCCCAGTCTTTTTTTATTTTGAGATAGGTTCTTGCTGAGTTGCCCAGGCTGGGTTTGAACTTCTGATCCTCCTGCCTCAGCTTCCCAAAGTGCTGGGATTACAGGTATTCACTATTCCTCTTTGTGGATAGGGTTTTTTTTTTGTCCTTCCTCCTTTCGGCACTGGGAGTTGAACTCAAGGCCTTCACCCTGAGCTACATCCCCAGTCTTTTTTTATTTTGAGATAGGTTCTTGCTGAGTTGCCCAGGCTGGGTTTGAACTTCTGATCCTCCTGCCTCAGCTTCCCAAAGTGCTGGGATTACAGGTATTCACTGCCATGCACAATGTCGCTTGGTTCTTTCTCATGGGGGTGGGGGGCAGCTAGGGATTGAATTTAGGGTCTGTGTATATAAGCAAGTATTTATCACTGAGATAACCCCCAGGTTTTGTTTGTTTGTTTGTTTGTTTGTTTTGTTTTTGCGACAGGTTCTCACTGTGTAGTTGAGACTGACCTGGAACTCACTATGTAGCCCAGGCTGGTCTCGAACTCGCAGCGATCCTCCTGCCTCAGCCTCCCAAGTGCTGGGATTACAGGCATGGCATGCGCCACCACGCCCAGCCAGTTCTTTTAAAATTTGAAGTGATACCTAATAAGTAGAAGGAAGGAGATTTTAGGATTAAACTGAGTTGGAAAGAGGAAGGTGATAGGAATGAGGACCTGAAACTGAAATGTGGTAGGCAGGTGGTGATGGCAGCAGCGAAACAAAAATCTTGAGAAACAGCTGGGAGAGCTGACGAAAACAAGGAACTTGATCTTTGTGTTTCAATCTGGCAGCATTTCTGGATCATGAGTGCCGGCCTAATGCCCTTCCCCAAATGTCCATGGCACATGAATACTCAGTTCAGTACAGTCAGCGTGGATTCCTGTTATTCGTTTTCTTCTATCCCCCCACTATACATTGTACCTGCTTCCAAGTTAGAAGCCCTGAGCACTGGGGCTGTCTGTGCCTTTTATATGGCTGGCCGCGCAGCAGCAGGTGGCCCACAGACACCAGAAAACTTGTACGCAATGAGACACCGCTTCGCGTCTTGTGATTGACCTCCAGGGCTTTGTTATTTACAACAAAAATCAACCCCAACTGTCCCAGAGGAAAGATTCTGTCTAGATGTGGTTACTGTGATGATAGCTGCTGCCTCTGTAAGAGGACCGAGGCGGCTGCT